TTTTTTTTTGAGACAGAGCCTCAAGCTGTCCCCCTGGGTTGAGTCCCATGGCATCACAGCTCACAGCAACCTCCAACTCTGGGCTCAAGTGAGTCTCCTGCCTCAGCCTCCCAAGTAGCTGGGACCACAGGCGCCACCACAACGCCCAGCTATTTTTTGGTTGCAGCTGTCATTGTTGTTTGGCGGCCTGGGCTGGATTCGAACCCTAGGTGTATATGGCTGGCGCCTTAGCCACTTGAGCCATAGGCGCCGAGCTGGAACACATTATTCTTAGCAAAGCATCACAAGAATGGAATGTACTCAATTCTGATATGAGGATAATTAATGACCTAGTACATGGGTGGGAGAGGGAAGTGAGGTCACGGGGTGTGACACACCTCTTGGGGACAGAACACAATTATAAGAGGGATTTTACCAACAAATGCAATAAAAGAATAGTTTTCTGATGCCTCATCTAATCCTCTCCCATCTGTCTCCCTGCCTCCGTTGTCTACATCTCACTCACTTTGTCCCCGGCTCCCTTTCTCCTGGCTACACACAGACTCTTTCTTTTGCCAATCTATTTCTCAAACAATCCATTAAATTAGGTTGCCGTGCGGTCCTGGATTCCCACCCCTCCCTCCACCCTATAGTCAGCACATCTCTGATAAACAGAACCCCCAAGTATCATACAAGGAGTCTTGGCGGCTCAATTCTAAAAACAGAAAAAAAATTGTTTTAATTTAATATAGATGAAAAGGAGTTCATGAGAAAAAGATTATAATTCACTCGAGTCACATTGTGAACCTGTCGTGTCTTATTTTAGAAGGAAATTAGAGTCAGCGGGTGGTAAAAGAAACAACGCTCCAGACACTAAGGAACTTAATAACACATTCTCAAGTACCATTTCCCAAGAAGGTCAATTTTCAGCACTTTTTTTGTTTTTAATACTCCATCTGGATGATTAAAAACAAATCAGAACAAAAATATCATTAACTTGTCGAAAAGAAAGCCAAAAAGAACACAGTGCTAAGATTAAGAATAATAATCTATATAAATCTTTCCTAAACCCTGTGATCCTATATTACCTTCATTACTTAATGAGTTAAAAAAAAAA